GTTGAGGAGGGGTTGCTTCTTCTGTTGGAGGGGGGGGTTCAGCTTGGGGGTGCCAGCTTGGGGGTAGCGTGTGGGTCGCGGAGGCAAGGGAGGGCGATTGAAGACGGGCAAGGGGGGAGGTTGTTGCAGTTTGGGGGGGCTGCGGCAGTGGTCGATGGGCCGCGCGTGGGACTGCAATCATGCCACATCTGCGGGCAGGCGGTCTGTGCTGGTCTGGCCATCAGCAAGCCCATGGTAACCGTGACTGGCCCATCACGGCCCATAACATTAGTTTCATCCCTCCACCCCTTCAATTGGTGCCACCGCTTCAAATGGTGCTTTGACCCCGCACCTTCCCCAGGGTTCTGCTGGAGCGTGACGCGGAGAACACCCTGACCATCCACCAGCAGAAGCGCAAGCTCAGCCAGCAGCACGACGTGCTGACGGCGCTCAAACAGAAGTGAGGGCGGGGACCTCGCTGAAGGCCAACTCACCACACATGAGGCTGGGTCGGGCCACGGTTGCGGTGTGCAAAATGGTCCGCCAGATGCCCGACATGGCATCCCCCTGCCACCTTCTGAGGTGCAGGACAGCAGGTTTTTCTGGCACGAGTGCGGCACGCAGGAGCCAGCCCCTGAGCTGCCGAGGCATGCGCAGGGCATATAAAAAACGCCACCGCCATCCCTGTGACACCTGATGCAGGTACACGGCCGCCACCAGCAAGCACCAGGACGAGAACGGGCGGCTGACGGACGAGTATAAGCGCGTCACAGAGCAGTTCAAGGATTTGCAGGTCGGCAGACGAGAAGCTGCCGTGCAGCTGCCGTGCCGGCCACGCGATTGCCATCCGGCTCGGGTGGGCTGCAGCAGCAGTGCATGCTTGTGCGTGCCGTTCAGCTGCTCTTTCGACGCACGCCTCGTGGCTGCACCTAATTCCTGGATGAACCGTTTGGAGCATTTGCTTGCCCTGTCAACAGCCGCCGCCCCTTCACAGTGATGAAAACTATCATGCTCACGCCTCAGGCCAAGTTTCGCCACTTCGAGGGCATCGACGCTGCCAAATTTGACGAGCTCTGGGAGCTGCAGCAGGGGGAGGTCTCGGCGCTGGCGCGGAAGCTGCTGGCAGCCAGCCGCGTGATCCACGAGCAGCAGCTTGGATGGGCGTGGCGGGCGCCAGACGAGCACGTGAGCGCCGGACTCTTTGCTGCGTGGATTCCCAGGGGCGTCGTGTTTGCGCACTCCGCCGCCCCTTGTTGCGGTGAAGCAAGAGAGGCCGCACGTGGTCTACAAAGCGCACGTTGTCGAACGGAAGCGACGCTGCAAATAGGTGAGGTCGAGTTGAGTGCCTGGCACATTCGACATCCATCGCCCGTGTGACACACCGCAGGCGCTGTTCAGGTCGCCGCACGACCACGTCTACCCCAATGGCGGCCTGGGCGCCGTCACCACCACCATCACGGCCGGCGGCGGCGGCGCTGGCGTGCCCCACGATGACGACCCTTCCTGGCAGCAGGACGGGGCGGGCGCGCCTGGTGGACCGCAGGAGCCGTCGTTCGGGCCGGGTGCTGACGGTCCTGCCGCGAGCCAGCAGGCGGCAGCCGGGGATAATCGGATTAGTACCGATGACGGCGGCCTTGGCGAGGCGCTTGTTGGATCTGCTCCCCTCGGCAAGGCGGGGGCCGGATTAGGCAGCGTCAGCGAGGGTGAGGAGGGGAAGCTGCCCAAGGAGGGCGCCAGCTTCGGGGCGCCCGCTGGCGTGGCGGCCGGCGCCTCCGCAGAGGTGAGGCGTGGCGTCGCCGCCAGCTGTTCTGCGCGTGCCACAGCCCAAACGCCCGGACCAACAGCACGCTTGCTGTCACACTGTCACACCAATGGCAATGGGTGCTGGCGTTAACAGCTCACTTCAATGATGGCATGGCGTAAGGTGTGCCAGCGTGTACATGCTGATGTCCCCTTGCTCTTTGTGACTCGACTTCTTCACCCGTGGTCTCTGACTCTGCAATCAATGCCTGTCCTGTCCCCAGATTGAGGCGCGGCTGCGGGAGCCCCGCTACCTGGGAGCGTTGCACCTGCTGTGCGACGAGGCCGGATTCCTGCTGGACACAAAGGTGTGTGTGTGTGTGTGTGCGCGCGTGTGCGCGTGTGTGCGTGTGTGCGTGTGTGCGTGTGTGCGTGTGTGCGTGTGTGCGTGTGTGCGTGTGTGCGTGTGAGCCATGTGTGGATGTTGGGCAGGATGGCAGACGGTTTGCCTTCAGGCCCAATCAGGGCTATCAAGGAGGGAGGAGACAGCTGGACTTCAGGGAAACGGCTGCCAGACCTTGCTCAACGGCTGCCAGACCTTGTGGCACAGCTGTGAAGGACGCGCCAGCCGCAGGAACGGGCGCCGACCAGCACCCTCCCCTTGCCCTCCCACAATTCGCTGTATCGACCCGCATCCACACCGCCCGGCCGCCGCCCACGCAGGCAGCGGCGCTGGTGTCCAAGCTCCCCGCTGACGAGGCGGGCCGCGTCAAGGCGGCATCGATCGTGCGGTCCCTGGGTGTCAGTGACGGCCCCGGCTTTGACGCCTTGATGGACGCTCTGACAGAGGACCAGCAAGGTGGGAGGGCTTAATGAATAAAACCCCATGCACGCATCACTGCGCTTGCGGCCGCTCCTGCTGTATCCACCACACACGCGTCCCTGGGCAATGCATCTGCGCGAAAGTCGTCCGTTGGTGGCCAGGGGCAGCGAGGGCGCTCACCTGCCTCCGAGAATGTGGTGCATTTGAGCAAACTGCCGCGTGTGCGTGCGGCAGGTGCGTTTGCGAATGCAGACCCCGGCGCGCCACCGCCGCTGCTGGTGGCGGCGGACGACGCGGTGCGCCGGCTGCGGGAATTTGTGGAATACGAGCAGTCGCTGCCCTCGCCCTCAGCCAGCACGGGGGGCCCCATCGGCGGCGGCTGGGGGCAGGCCGGAACGGCGGCGTCGGCGGCGCCGGGCGGCCGCGGGCGGCTCTCCTGTTCGAGTGTTGGCAGCGGCGCCGGCAGCGGCAGCGGCAGCGGGGGCGCGGCTGGCGTGCCGGCGGGGCGGCGGGTGTCCCAGGCGCAGCTGGCGGCGGCGGGGACCGCAAGGAAGGCACACACAGTGTCCCGGCGGATGGCCGATCGGGAGCGGGACTTTTGGGCGCGGCTGCCGCAGGCGAGTGCTACAAGAGCGCCCCTTGCAATGTTCCGGGACGCTCTGACTGTCTTCGAAGGCGTGGGTCACTGCCCGCCGCGCCTCCTGTTGCTGAAGCTATTTGCTCCCACGGCCATCACCGGGCGCCAGCTTATGTCCACCTGCTTGCGTCGATGCTTCGGCATGCTGAACACCGCTACGTCACCCCGGCCACACTACTAAAATCTCCCTGTCCCTAACCCCTCCCCCCAACTCGTCCTTCACCCTTTGAAACACACCAAATTCGGCCCAAACCCCGCCTGCGCCCACACTCCTGCTGTCCCCAGGCTGTCGGCGACAAGGAGTGGCGCGCGTGGTGCACCCTCGAGGCGCAGCTGGGCCGATACCACGCGCTGCTGACGGCGCGCGCCGCGGGGCTGGGGACGGTGGGGGAGCTGCGGCGGCAGAACGAGGAGCTGCGGGGGCTGCTGCGGCAGTACCTGGCCAGCGACATAAACAAGCAGCTGCAGGTGCCGCCGACGGCGCTGATTTGACGGGCGCGCGGCGTGGCGGCGGGTGGGGGCAGGTTGTGTGGTGACAGTGCTGGTGCGGATGGTTCGGCCGCGTGATTCTTCCCCGCAAGACGCACGTTTGCGCGTGTGCATTGCCTTGCAATGCTTGCGTATCATGGTGCCTGTTGGCAGCAGTGGCAGCCCCTTCAAGCGCGCGGGTGAAGCTTGGGCGGGGTTCAATTGCGGCAGTCCAGGGACGCAACGGCTTGGAGGGTGGCACGCCAAGACCACGTGATGCTTAACCACTGTGTCAACTCCCATAAAGCTGGTGCATCTGTCAGAACTTGTCTGTGCCAGGGGTGACCGCTTTGAAGCGCTAATTGCCGGTCGTGCAGCTGTTGACAATGCTGCTGCTGGCAGGTGCGTCCCTGCTAGGCATCCACGCGGCACCCCAAGAGGAATAAAACATGACTTGCGATGAATTTATTTGAGTCTTGCTGCTCCTGCGGCCCGTTTATGTTACCACATCGACCAAGTGCCACGCATTGCAACGAGATGCTGATGTGGCACTATCATTTCTTGACAGACGGCGCTCAGATAGGTAGACTCTGTTATACCTATAACGTCCTATCACAGAAATTATATCTATACACCCTGCAGAAGATATAGCGGTCTCTTGCAGTGGAGCCACCAGATCGCCCCTTGCGCCACGCGCCAATATAGCTCGCACGACAGCGCGCTCCAGGCAATGTCGACACCTCACGCACGCCTGACTATGCTGGGTGCGCAGCTGGCGGCCGGCCCGGCCGCCAGCGGCCTGGCCCTGTCGCCGCCCGAGGTGCAGCAGCTGTCTCGCGCCCCCACCAGCGGCGCCGTTAAGGGCCTGCCGCGCTTCGACCCATACATCATGGAGACTTACCTGGACGACCTGAGGGACCTGAAACGCCAGGTAACTTCCCTTCTGCATCGCCTGGGACTGCCCTGCCTCATGCCGAGAACATGTGGGCAGGTGGCAGCAACCAGGTCGCGGTCGAAGCGTGGCAGCTGCTCAAGCGGAAGCAAAGCGCGTGTCACAGGGCAGTATATACACCTGCACGCACCACTCAACGACATGCCCGCCCATGCAGGTGTATGACCTTTTCAAGTTTCGGCCGGAGCTGCTGCCCGTGGTCGAGGAGGGCATGAGCAAGGGTGGGCCCCCCGCCCGCTCGGCTGCCGCAGCCGCGTGTTTGGTGTCGATGTCCGCCCCTGCCAGTGTGTACGTGCCTGCATCAAGCCACGCTGCGGCGCACGGCACAGCAGTGCGCGGTCTTGACGCAAGTCTTGGCCCATCCTGCTTTGACCAGTTCCAAATTGATACTTCGTGAATGGGCAGATTTCTGGTGGAGAGATCCACGGTTTTGCCTCCCAGCAAGGCCCGCTCTCCGGCATGCCGACCCCTCGCCTTCCAACCGCGCCCCCGCCGCAGAGGAGCACCGGAGCCTGGTGCGGGCCCAGCTGCGGGCGCTGCTGGAGGCCGGGGTCAACCCTTTGACTTACTTTGACCGCGACTACAAGAAGTACTTCTACCTTGCTGGTGTGCGGGGTGCCCTGCTTTGTGGTGGTTCCCGGGTGGTGTGTGTGTGTGTGTGTGTGTGTGGTGTGTGGTGCGTGTGTGTGTGGTGTGAGTGGGAGGAAGCAAGGCAGAGGCCGAGAGAAGGAAGGCGAGGGAGTGCGCATGTGCGTGCCGCAGGTGCACAAAGCGTATCGGGGCACTGTCCTGGTATGCGGGAGGCCCATCTGGTTGCCCTGCAAGCAGTGCGTCCGCCTTTCCACGCGCTGCCCGCCTCTCCTCTTTCCTATACCCCCATCCACATCCCTGCTATCATATAAGAGTGCCTATCTCTCGTGGACCTCAGCCTTATGGTCAAGTCAGGGGTGCAGTTCAGCCTCTGGGGCGGCAGGTGCGCAGCCCGCCGCCCGCTGCACGCTGCCTGCCGGCGCCGCCCCCGCTGCGTGGCGCGTTGGCGTTGCTGCCGAGGCGCGGTTCAACCGTCAAAACACCCCTCCGCCCAGGCCAGCCGCCGACCCCTGACCCTGCCCTCGCACCACATCGCCCCTAACAACCACACCTCATCTTGAAGCGTCCTGAACCTGGGCACCGAGCAGCACCGCCGCAAGTACTTTGACGACATCGGGGCCTTTCGGCTGCCCGGCTGCTTCGCCATGACAGAGCTGGCGCACGGCAGCAACGTGAGGCGCGGCTGGTTTGGGTGACTTGATACACATGCACTTGTTTGTGGTGTCTGTAGGGCCGGGCGGGTGTGCAAGTGCAGAAGCTTCATGTCAAAATGCCAATCACCACCTCTGAGGGACCTGCTGGGCTCTGGCCCGGGCTGCTTGGACCCAGGGCGGCAGCGCCACTGCCCTCCTCCTTTCGGACAGCCCCGCCCGCCAGCGGCGCGGCCGCCCTTCGCCCGCGCCCCCTCCATGCCCGCCCCGACCGGCCCACCAGCCCCCCGAACTGCCACCAATGGCACCCC